AAAATGTAGGTACCTATCTACCTATTTATGTAAGCTAAAATACCATAAAGTTAAATTTTAATTGATATAGAATTTTAAAATACATTGTTGTAAATTCATTGTTCACATTCTATTACTTAGAATTCTTTTATACGGTAAGTAGTTTGTTATTGCTAAGGAATTACTTATTAACGTTTAAATTTGAATAGCATTAAGTATAATTTGTAAAAAATAAATGTACACTTAATTAAATTTTTGATGTTGATAACGGTCCGGTCCAGTCCGAATAGTTATATTCGGTATTTTTCATTAATTTTCTACTATATTGCAAATTTTTATGGTAAAAACAAATACAAATTCAAAATCTAAAATCATTTTAGCATAAAGTTCATCCAAAAAGCTTCACAAAGAATAAGTAAAGAATATAACCTTGAAAATTCATATTAAAAGATTTTCCGGGTTCAAAACATTGAGACAACAAAACAAATTTTAATTTTTTCCCATGTAAAAAACAAAAAATGTAACAAAAAATTATTTTTTACAAGTCTCCCTTTTGAAAAAAACATAAAATTAATTTTGTAATTTAAAAATGAGTAAGTAAGTAACTAAGTACAATATTAGAGCGTCAACAATTTATTTTTGTATCATTTTTTGGCTATGTAATCAATTCTATTAATTATTTGGTACTCAACTTAATTATAGTTGTGTAAGTGAACAAGTAATTATGCTACTTAATTATAGAGAATATTTTCAGACTTATATTTATTTTTTTTCCTCGTTTCTTTTGCTTTTGTCTTCACTTACTTTTTAAGTACACATTTTCTTAATTTAATCTTATCTTTTAAAATTGATAACACTGTAATCAAAATAGATTTTATTGTTTTTAAACCCGATAAAAAATTATTAAATATTTACTAGAAAAAAAAAACTTTTAAATAATAATAATTAAGTGTTTGTAGATCAGATAAAAAAAATTGCAAAAAAAAAAAGGGTCACATTTAAAAGAAAAGGCAAAACAATTAGGTGCTTCTAGGAACAAAATTTTCAAATAAAAGTTACAACTAATAAGAGATTAAATAAGAGCAATTTTTTAAGCAATTTAAAATTGTAAAAGACTTTTTGAGTGATTGGTCTAGACCATGAAATAGAAAGTGTGTTTCTTATAATTGTAAGTACGAATAAAAATTTCTTCTATTTCTGGTAATTTAATTTAAATATAAAATATCATGATCCTGCCTACTCGTATCAAATTTCACTAAAATACTTAAGGGAAATTTTACTTGTTCTGTTATTCTGAAGGTATAAGAGGATATCTATCCATTAATTGTTGTATAATATCAGAAATTTGAAAACCATAGAGCTACTTCCTAATTCGATAAAAATTTTAGAATACAAAAATGCATAGAAAACAATATCACACCCAGAAAAATTATAAGAATAAATAGAAAATTTTCCATTTTTCCAAAAAAAAAAAACCGGCTACAATAATAACAAAAATTTCATCTCATCACAATAAATAACACCTACCATTTACAATTTTTAACCCTACTAATAAAACTAAAAAGTATAAAATTTAATCCGGTTTTTTTTGCACTTAGCATGGTTTCTGTACATTTAAAATAAACAAGAATAAAAGACAATTTTATAGTTAGCTAAGTAGGAACCTATACCTACCACAATACCAAAATAAGTACAACTAAAGACAATTAAAAAGAAAATAAGTCATGAATACACTCCAAAGAAAATAAAATATTTTAAATATTTTAGTATCCCACGCATTAAACGAAAAAGAACAAAAAAAAAAACCTAAAAAATAAGTAGAAAATTCAAGCCATATTTGTGCACCTACATACCTTAAAGGTCTATAAGTGCAATAATGTTTATTTTTTTCTTAAGCAATTCCATAAAACAACCACAAGTATGTAAATATTTAAGTCCCTATTTATTTATGTTATTTTGAATCGAATTTATTAAAATTTGGATGCATTCATATTGTGCAAAATAATTTTTTGTTGGTAGAGTAGAACTTTTATTCTCAATAGTTATTTATTGAGGCAAGTAGGAGACTACATGAATGATTAAATGGAGTAATTTTAAATATTTGAGGTAGCAAGATTAAATACCTACTGCAAATTAGAATGTATTGCAAGTAAATTAAACAAACAAGAGAAATAGGCATTGAGGTATAAATTTATTAGGTGTACGCAATTAAAGTATGAAATAAGAAAATTAAAAATCAACATAAACTTATTTTTTATTAAAAAAAATAAGAAATCCTACATATTTACATAAGTATATGTACCTACATAGTTTACTCTCGCCCATTTCATTAAGAATTCTAGAAATGCTAATAAACAAACACAAAATATTGTAAGTATAAGAAAACAAGTTTTTTTTTATATACAATATTATTAAAGTATTGAAATTTTTTTCTTCTTATTCTTTCCATTTTAATCATTTGAATAAAAGATTTAAAAACTACAAAAGAAATGAAACGATTGTAGAAGTGTCATTGCAATCAAAATAAGTATTAATTTATATAGTGTGTACTTGACGTGCCGTGCCGTTCTATTTATAATAAATAAAGAAAAGATATTTAATTAAACAAAATCCACAAGTATGTATATATATATATATATGTATATATTTTCAAAGATAGGAATAATGAATATATCTTCATAAATTTGTTACACCACAATAATATCTTTGTCATTTCCTTTCTCTTGCATCGGTATTTTGTTTGTGTTTGACACACACAAATTCCTATTGTGTACCAATAATTTCATTTCATTACAAATTAAGAACTGCAAATCTTATAATTTTATATTTATCACTTAAAAATCCTCTTATTACATTCTTGTAATCGAAATAAACTAAAAAAAATAAATCTCATTTTCATAATTTTAGATTTACTGCACAAAATATCTCTACACACAACATAATATTGCATAGGTACAAGTACCAATATAAAAATAAGCATAGAAGGAAGTTGCATAGATTTTTTTTTCTTCTAAGATGAAAAAAAATTTACTCACCATCTTTTGATTTAGAGCTATCGCCTCCTCCAGCTGATTGATGATGGCTTTTATCCATTGAATAACAAGACATTTAAGTTTAAAACACAAAGGTTATAATTAAAATTTTTGTGGTGGTATTTTCTATGATTTCTTTTCTTTTTCTTTTATTTTTCTTCTTTGATTTTTTATGATTTCTTCTCTATTTCTTTTACTTTTTTTTTCTATTTTATTCAATATTATTTAAGACACAATTTTATTTTATAATTATTTTCTTACTTTATTTTATAGACACATCAAAATAATAAAAAAAAAATTATCAAAAGAAACCAAAACCATCCACACACATCATATCACATCACCAAAAATAAGCAAAAAAAAAAAAAAATAAAAAATAAAAATAATAACAAAAAAAAAAATAATAATAAAATAAAAAAATACCAAAACTAAAATAAAAAAAAGTTAAAAAGAAAAAAAAATTGAAACTTGTAAGGAATTCTCTTCTTATATTTTGACACTTTATTTATTTAATATTTCATTTATATATTTTTTAATTGAAAAACTAAATCAATTAATCAATTATTTAATAACACTTTACAATGATTTTATTTATTAAATTTGGCGAATTTCTTATAAATTTAAAACATTTTGAAATTACCACAACATTTGGATGCTTTTCCGACAGGCCATAACTTTTGGAGACTATCCAAAAATGAAAGGTGCATGAATGTGCTGCCAGTTTTTTTCAAAATTTTATATTAATCTTGACAATTATTTTGAAAATACAAAAAAAAAGCTTTCTATTTGACATTACAAGTAAATGTCATTTCATTAATGAAAACTGAAAGTTTTGTACATTTAATTTATTTCAAATTCTAATCGGTAGATGGCTCTTGCTGTCAAAAAAAAGAAATATATACATATTATTTTCTAAAAGAAATTATTTCATTCGTATTGTTATACTAAAAAATTGGAATATAATATAGAATGGAAGTAAATTTTGTTTAAAATTATAAATTATTTTAAATAATAAAAAAATAAATTAAAAATACATTTACATACAATATAATATTATTCCTTTTTGTTTTGGTTATTAAAATAAATTGGTTGGTATGGGATTATTGGCATATTAAATTATACTAGATTTGCTAAGACACAATATTGTTTTATGCGTTCAATGTCAATTTGAAGAGCTTAGTAATTGAAAGGAAATGGTTGTAAGAAAAACAAATCGTTCTTTTATTTTACTTAAAATCAATATTTAGTTACATAAGTCAAAATCAAATTGACAAAACTAGCTCCAGACTTATTTTTCCACGTGCCGTGTAGTGTAACGTATTCAAATCGTTTATGGGAAAAAGAGTAAGGGATTAACCTGAATGTGCGCATAGTACCTGTGTTAAAATCTTCTAATACCAGTACAATTTAAATCAAATGACATAAATGAGTTACGCGTCTGCGAAACGTATTATAATTTTTGATTTTGAAAACGAATAGGTACATTTCTTTATTGTTCTTTTTTTTTTCTAATGTCAAATTAAAAAGAAATTTAAAATAAATGTCAGAATATGCGTGGTATTCAATTCAGTGACTTTATTCGTATATGCTATTTTTTTTTTTTTTGGTTAATCCTTAACTAAAAAAAAAAACAAAGAGTGGCAACAGCGGACGATTTCCGTTTTTAACGACGAACAAGAGCAGAAGGGCAAAATCAGTTATAATGTCACACACATATTTCTTTCTTTTTAGAAAGTTTAGTTTTTTAAATGAAAGAAACTCAGTTTTAGTTTTTTAAATGAACTAAAACGTATAGTATATCGAGAAACATTATTAAAATTATGTATGTACTAAACTTAAGTGACAAGAAGTGTTCTACCATATCCGTTTACATACCTATGTAAAAGCAGCCAGATGTAAACACTAACAAATATCAAAAATTATTTTTAACATATGAAAAATCGAAAACATCGAATTCACCACATCTTAATTTTGACAGTCAATGAAAATTAAAAAGCCGGCCATTACAAAGTTAATTTTAAATAGGTTTACTCCAGTTCACTTTTAAATTACGTCTGAAAAATAGGTACGTGATAAAATTTTGAAAAAATTATTTTTTTTCTAAATTAAATTCATTTAAAGTAATAGAATATAAGAATTTTGAAAATAATCTAGAAAAGTTTTCATATTTTTATTGTGAATTTTGTTCTAGAAAAACAAAAGGTGACAAAATTTTTCTTTTAGTGTTGAAAATGAAAAAAAATTAAATATCCACATATGTATTTACATATGCGCATACATAAATATTTTTATGACTTGCAAAAAAAAGAAAAATAAATTTTGCAACATCCATATTATGACGAAATAATATTCTAATATTGTTTATGTTTTCAGATTGTTGTTTTATTAAAAACCTAAATACCAAAGATACGAATTGAATTGATAGTAAATATAAAAGTCGGGGATTGAGCTTACATTACAATAATTTTTGTTTTGCAGTCAATTATAAAATATCGAAAGTTATGACGTCGTTTACACAGTATATTGTTGGTGCTTGCATAGTCGGGCTCGGTGGTTATCTTTATTACTATATCAAAGTAAATATCTTTTTTAAAATATTGAATTTCGTGTTAATTTAAAATTAATCAATAATTGGTTGAGTGGCTTCAAACTTTTCTCAGGTTATTGTGCTTTTCGTTAATGCATAAAATGCATACATACATATTGTGTATGTGTATATTTTTTCTGTAATATTTTGGTAATGGTAAAAAAATTAGTCACGTAGCATAATTTTAGAGTTTAAAAGCATATAATCGTCTATTTGTCTGTTTTTCAAGAATAATTCAAACCTTCATACCAACTTAACTCGAAAAATAGATCCATTTAAATTTTAAATAAATGAAAAATGTGTAATAACTTGAAAATAACTTTTCAATAATTGTTTTAAGTCATGTATAAGCGCGTACACTTTGATTATAGTTGAAGTGTTTATTCAGATTGCTCAGTTAGGGTTTATTGTACTTATTTATTTATTTATTTATTTCTTTTTTGACTACATTTCTTATCAATAATATTTGAGAAGGCACGATATGATTGATTTATTACGATTCATATTTTTAAAAATTAAAATGATAAGAAATATGAAAATGTTAGAAGAGTATCTCTAGAGCACCAAGTCGAAATCGATATTTTTGACAGTCATATTAAAAGTTTGGATTATTTTCAATTTTTTTTTATGTTACTTGCGTTACTTTAATACTCCTATTACATTTAAATACTTACATACAACACTACTAGGTATAACTACCAATATAAAAAGTAAACAACTTCTACTGCCTCCTTACAATTACGGCAATCATCAACAGTATCAATTATTTTTTTTTTTGCAGTTGCTGAACATTTACACACCCAATAATTAGGTATTTGTCTTCTAGAGAATCGTTTTTAATGTAATATTACTTTATTCCCTAAATATGAATTCAGTTCTCTTTTATTTCTTTAACGAGAGTTCTTATTAATTTTAATATCATTTCTATAGATTTATAGTAATTATTATTTTTAATATCTACTTAGATAGTTTACGATACATGTATCTAGGCAGAAACAATATTAGCTATTTAATCAGAATTAATGGGTATCAGACTAGCTCTAATATGAAAATAGAGCAAAGAATGGCGAACGAAGGAATACTTAACGAACGAAACCTTAGTTATTTATTATTGGGCTTAAATTTGATCACTTACACTGTTTGTATTATTCCTATAAGAACAAATGAATTTTTAAAATCTTTTACGTACATTTAAGTGCAAATGTACCGGTTTTAATTTTATAGCTTATGTATTATTTATTTTATTACCATATCTTAAAGAAAATTGAAGTGAAAATAAAATTAATATTTTCAAATGCTTCACCTTTACGACCTTTAAAGTACTTATTTCTAGTAAATTACAATTATTAATCATTTCACAATGATTTGAAGTAGCCATTTATCTTAATATTTATTCTAAAAATTTTCTACCTATAAAATATGTAGATACATGTACATACATGTGTACATTATTGCGCATTTGTGCAAACAAATTTTTTAACAATATTTATGAATTAAACCTGTCAAAGTGGTCTCCAAAAAGTAAATAACAGATTGAAACAAAATAAAAAGATGAGAAACTATTGTATGTACTTTCAAGATAATTTAACCATATTTAATAAATTCTTATATGTATAGTTAATTAAATAAATTACAAAATATTTTTGAATTTAACCATAAACCACATTCCTCTCTTCGTTTAATTAAGATTTCATGCGGTGTACCTACATATTTTTTTTATTAGCAATATCTAATTAAACATTTTACAAAATCACAACTTTAAGTGTTATTATTAAAATACATAGTTATTTAACAAAAATAAATAGGCAGGTATTTGTTTAATATAATCGTAAAAAAAATAAACTTTTAATTTATAATTAACATATTGCCAACCGATCGGGGAAATCTCCCCGTTTTGAAAAATGTCAGTGGACGACCGATCGAAGAAATCTCCCTGTTATAAAAAATGTCAGTGTATAACCGATCGGGGAAATTTTCCCGTTTGACAATGTAATGCAATGGAGTACTGCATACATGGATTTAAGTATATTATATTATATTATATATTTTGATGTCCTCTTCGCTGATCGCTATATATAACGATATATCTGCAATATTTCTGGTGAAGATTGGATTATAGTTTATAGTATCATCGTCTACAATTCCAGTCTGAATACAATTTTTGCACTGTACAGAACAGTTCTATACCTATTTTGTAATATATTTTTGTAATATAATAAGAGACCTCAATAAATTAAAGATGCTTTTGATGAATTTTACTTTGACACTGAATCAAAATTTTCAGAAGACGATGCTGATAGCGACACCGAATATAGTGATGTGGACATTATCACACCAGGAAATAGATCTAATTGTAGAATAATTTCAATTATTTCAGTAGAATTCAACATTAACTTACTTTTTTGTTTACCAATACGTAATTATTGTTTATATTTGAGAACTTCACTATTTGTCGCATGCCAAAAATGAGCGGTGTATAGTTTATATTCAGTTGAAATTCGTGCGGTCGGCAATGTGTTAAAATAAAAGAAAATTATTTTTTCTCTGTAAAGAAATTGGTAGAAACTAATGGAATTAATATTTGCAAATTAGGTACACACTGTGTTTATCAATTTATTTAGGATTTGGGTCTTATATTTTTCTTTGCGTCAATAAAAATTTTGATTTAGCAATTCTTTAGTTAACTATACATATTTAAAAACTCTAAATGGTTTATAATATTAGCTTTAATATTTCGGTTTCAGGAACTTGAATTGCAATTTTAATTAGCATATACTTTAAGAAAACTATTGGATTTTCAAGAAGAACTTATAGTAATTTTTTTTGTTTATAAGCAGTTCTTTTCAATTTTATTTTCTTTTAAATGAAAATGAGTAAATAAAATGAAGAAACAAGTAAAACAAAATTTTTATGACCGTTTTAAGCGGCAGAGGTCAAAATTTTTAAATTTGAATATTTTGCTTTTAATAATTTTGTTATTTACTGTATATATTTCAAGTAAAACGAAATCGCATACATTTGCGAAATAAATTGTTCCTATTTATAGCGTATTTGTGATAATGAATTTTTCTTCTTTTGTTACTTAATAATATGGGGTGAAGTGAAACGCTTATATTTTCACTTTCGCTATCTAAATAAATAATAATCTCTTGAATATGTGGTTAGTATGTAGTTAAATTAAATAATAAATGTGGTAGTGGTAAACACATTTAAAATAAATATAATTTTAGTTTTATACGATATGTATGGACCTATACAAATGGGAGCTTATTTGTATTTGCAATTTTTTTGTTTACTAGTCGAATAAATTTCCTAAATGATTTCACATGACTTCTTTTCTAAAGATTGAGTATAATCTCGTGCAACAAATATTCCGTCCGTCTTGTTAATTTTTTGTAAATATTTCAATGTTATATTGGTTATGAAGATAATAATTGCATATAATTATTAATTGGGTATATTTTAATTATTATTTAAAATATTATTTTAAAATATTTCTCTTCATTAAAGGCAATTTTCTTTAAAACTCAAATAATTTGTTTTTTTTTTATATGAATCAATTGTTTGAATAACATGTATAAAATTATGTACTTATTTTTAATGTACATGGTCATGTAATGTAAATTTGATATATAACGTAAAATATGTACATATGTATATGTAATTTTATTTAAATTATGATAATTATACATAATTGAAAATTACAAGGAAATTCAATGAAAAATATTAAAATAATTTGATTATAAGTAGATCGTGTCATGCGAACTAAACTTCTTTGAACAGTCTAATTTAATATCATGCATATTTAATGCATGAAAGGCAACTTACAGTATGAATTATCGATTAATATTGCTCATTCCCCCTCCGATGAATAGTCTCCTAATATTTAAAAACTAAATTTAAATTTAAATGTATAAGAAATCAAAAAAGCATTTTGAATAAAATTAAATTTCATATTTTAAAATGTTGTCACTTACTGTTGAAATGTATTTGGTTGATTACCCATTGAAATGCAATTAACTTCCGGTAATGGATTTTTTGATTAAAAGAATTTCAATAACATAATTACAACAATTACAAATCAATATTTCATGGTTCTAAAAATTTCTAATTAGCATAGCAAATTTAAATATTTTTTAAGGGTTTTTATTTTATATTATCAAGGTGAATTGTAAAAACTAAAAATAATTCTTGTGCGAAAGCACTAGTAGAACTTTATGAAAGATATAGCTAATCATAATAGAATGCCGATTAAAAAAATCGTAAACCTTTAGGAACCAATTGAAAGTTTAGAAGTGATTAATTGAGCATAAATTTTTTTCCATTTGGTTAAGTCTGATTTGCAGAGATTTAAAATTGAGTAAAGTTTTTAAGAAAATGTAAAATTTTAAAAACAAAATAGTAAAATAAAGAATCTACTTTAAGATAAAAGTACGTTCTTAAGTTGAATTACTAAATTCCTTTCTTAGTTAAAACATAATTTCAGATTTTACATTTAATTCTAAAAAAAAAATTTTACACGTTTTTGTTGCCTTGTATATAATAAATGTAAGACATACCTCAGCAAAGTTCAGAGGGGGAAAGATCTTTATGTACGGTCGCGATGCACAGTTACTTCGGTTGTAGAAACCTACAATTGTAGATTGTATTAACACGTTCCCTGTCCCAATACAAAAATGCAAAATTGACCGACAAGTTCAACAGGGTTTTTTGAATAATTTGTTTTTTTGTAGTCATAGGATAGTACGTCCAGTGCAGAAACTGTACAGTTCCGTTACGTCCAGTCGAATAATTTGCTTTAGAAGTTTCATATACCCCCTGACGCATATATGGCTCAGGAATGTATCAGTGCTTATCGCACGCTTTCTGAACCATATGTTGGTCAGCGAAGAGGGAACGTGTTAATACTGTCTAATAAGATTGTAGATAAAATTGTACTCATTACTGAAACACTCTGTATATTGTGTAGTTAAATTACGAGTATGTATACTAAAATCAAAAAAACTAATAATATGATTGTATTTCTAACTAAAAAGGAAATTATATATGTATGTTTAGATTAAATTTTAATTATATTAAAACTTGTTTTAAAAATAAACTTATAAGTAAATATTTTAAATCAATTATTTATTAAAAAACTATAAATTTTATAATAGGTCTTATTAAAATTATATTGTTTCAAGTAATATTTAATTTAATAAGTTGAATTGTACAAAAAAAACTTGAAATGAGTTTAATAATAGCAATATGAAACACAATTAGATAAATTAATCACTTATATATTGTCTTCAGTAAGTTAATGAATATTTTAATTGGTATTACTTGTTGGAAATTTGTAATTGTAATTGTTGTGCAATTTAAAAATAAATCATAGAGAATTTCTTATAGATTTCAAAAAACATAATTATCTAAAACTTGTAGCAGAAATTCTTGAGATATTAATTGTGAGTAGTTTAATGTAAAACAATTTCTCAAAATTTGTGAACCAACTATTTTAACCATAAAATACATTTTAGGGCATTTGACCTAGGCATTTCTAATATTTATAATTATTGATATTTTTACTATATTCTATTTCGTTCATAAAACTTCATAATCAAATTGTAATTGAACAAAATATATTCGTTGTTAGCTATAATAACTTAATTGTCTCTATTTAAATTAATATTGAATTTACTTTTCTAATTTTATATATAGTTTCCACTACCATATATTTAAATATATATATACATAATTATATGGTAATTTAATTTTAATATATCAACATGTTCCCATATCATATGAAAAATTTTATTACATACCCTTTTTTTTAGCGTTTTTCGAAAAAAATTAGAAGAAAAAGAAATATTAGTTTCACTCTGTTTCGTCTGTCCATCCGTCTGTAAGTGTGTCTGATTACAGGAATTCCATACGCTTTAAGGTAGAAAGTTGAAGTTTTTTTATCTAAACAGTCATTTATTAGAAACTTATTTCCGCAGGAGAAAATTTTTACCTATCTCCGCCCATCCAAAAGTTATAGCCCCTCAAAATACTGAAAATACCTTTTTTTGACTATTTGTTGTATCGAAAACACAATTTTTTTTTCAAATTTTACAACCTCAAAAAAGTTTTAAATTCTTCTATTGAAACATAGCATAGTTGAACATGAAAATGACGAAATTGTCATTAAAATTAACCCTTATCTAAAATTCATTTTTCAATTTTTTGACATCGTTGTTATTTTAGACGATGAGTTGTAGGCAATTTGAAATTTTGACAGCCTTTAGGTATTAATAAATACACAGTTTATTTTGTTGGAAGAAAATTCTTTCCCACTTCCATCCCCTCTCAAGTTATCACCGTTCGGAATTCGTAAAATTTGAATTTTCTGCATCTTATATTTTCGAAAATGCAAGCTTTTTCAAATTTCTATTTGACGATAGATGCCATATTATTAAAAAATATAATTATTTATCCTAGTATTTACTGCTACTTTACAAATCATTGGTTTGACTCAACTCTATTTTATTTTAATATTGATTATTTGATTTCAATTTAAAAAAAAAAATAAAAGCACAATTTGTAATTAATAATTTATTATTTTTTATTTCAGTTTAAAAAAAAACACACGTTAATATCTCGTAATTAAAAAAAACAATAGTAAAATAAAAATCATGTTTTCCGCAAGAGCTTATAAATTATTTAAAGAATTTTCTATAATAAATGTTTTAAACAAGCAAAGATTTTCTACAACACGAACTAAAGTTACTCTATATAATTTTGGTAGAATTGGTTTAATTAGTTGTTGGCCATTGAAATTAGTTGATACAAAACTATCGATTCTCTCAGTAGCAAGTTGTTCTACGGCCGCGAAAGATGTGAGTTTTTAATTTTATTTAAAGATTTTTTTTTTTTTGGTGTAGTTTGTAACAATATTGTTTAATGCTTCAACTGTGTTCTCTGTGCATTACAAAAATATTTTTAATAATTTTCTTAAAAAAAAAAGATAATATAATAATTTTCACCTATATATTAACTTTAAATATACATATACATATACATATATAAAATTTGTTTTATATACAACTATAAGAATTTTTATAAGTTTATAAGATTAAAAGAGATTATCAGAATTTAGTAGGATTTTTGTAACAATTCTGCTAAAGAACTAAATAAATATGGGGGAAGTAACGGAAAATTGGTGAAAATTTAAGTTAACTGAATTTTAAAATTCATCAAAAGAGTAATCTTCAGATCAAAAAATATTCCTGACTTCAATTGTGCAGACATATCGCAATACTACGAAGTATAGAGTTCAAAATTTTCTATATACAAAAAACTACAAGGTCCAAAGTTCAATGTATATAGTTTGCTCTCCGTATAAAATATGCATAAAATGAGTATTTCGAGCATAGAAAAATTCATACAAGCTTTTTTCACAGAGATAATTTTTGCTTTGTCACAGAGCTGATGTGTTACTCTTACTTATACTAAGTTATTACATTGCCATACTTGATGTGAAAGTAACTTAAATATACAAAAATAAAAAAAATCAGTACAAAACAGAATTTTTATTGAACTTTTATAAATAATTTAATTGCACTCAATCAACTCGGAAAGTGCCGGTACCCTAGCAGTCAAATATATTCCTCATTAAATGTCATTTTGTTGTGTCCGCTCTTCATATACTTTATATTCAATCCATTTTACTATGCTATATCTAGAGTCAAATTAGTTTAGTTATATCTAGTCAAGCGTAGTAGTGTTGCAGTTCTAATGTATATGCATATTTGCGCAATTAGAGTTCACGGTATTTTGAAATTATGAGAATGGAAAATATTTTAAATTTCAAAGAGAAAGTGTTCTAATTTGTGAATCTATTATGTTTTTCATTCTATTATAAAATAACCAAAAACAGAATTTGGAAGTCATTTACTCCATATTTTTCTGATTCCCATATGCGACTTTTAATTTTTGAAAATTATCAATGGTGTAACAATTGTTATAGAAACGACAAAAATAGAAGTAAGTAGCTTAAAACTATCCAGCTTTACATAAATTCGGGCAAGGAAAGTAAAACTCACATTGATGATGTTGCTATATGATGATTATGTTACTAAATTTTCGGATAATTCGTTTTACTTGCATAATTTCGTTCAGTGTTATGATTTTGTGAAAAAAAATTATTTAAATTTTGTTATATTAAAAGAAATTTACTGTATCGTAAAAATTTTAATTTTCGATAAAATAAAATTTGCATCTCGTGGTGTTATAATGCAATTGTAATAAAAATATTTTTAATTGAAAGAAAGTGGCCGTGGTTCTAAAAATATGAAGGAACCGTTAATTGATAAAAGTATGTTAAGTGTTATTATATTTCTTGTGATGCATCAACCTTTTTTTTTGTAATTAAAAAATTGGCTATTCAATAATTATCGCTTCAGAAAATAAAAAATATGCTAACATTGTTTGACTAATAAGAAAATTGTGATATCAGAAAATTATCAGAAAAATTAATATTAATAAAATGGTAATTCTTTTTCTTTATATAAACTACATTCATTCGCACAAATTATCATTCATCCATGACTATAGAGTTCGTACTGGCAGAGAACGAATTGTGATAAGATTAAATGTTATTTATTTTTTTATTGTGATATTCAATTTGTTAAGTCATAAATAATTGTAAATTATTGAACCACACTAAATATTAAATATTTAATGACACAACATAAATTTACAAAATTGACTTGAATTTAAAATTTATCATTCATTTTGATAAAAGAAAATTTATGTTTGATATATCCGAATTTCTCAACTATTAATGTGCTACATAGAAAACCATTTGCAAAAAAAAAAAAAGAAATGTGATCATAAATTATTAATGAATATTGTGAAGGATTTCGGCAAATGAGAATTGTTTAAAAGATTAAAGTTAACTTGCTAAATAATTTTATGATATTTCTTTCTTAATAAATTTTTAAATTTATTATTATAGATCATTTTTATATAAAAGTATGTATTTTGAAAATAATGTAAACTATAAAGATTGTTGGTTTTTATTGATTTTTTACTATACAAAAGTTTGGGCTACAAAATATCTTTTATGAAACGTACTAATTTTAAATATTTAATTTACTAACATAAAACATAAGGCTTTTTCATAAACGCAGTATATCGCGATATATAGCAAGAACTGCGCTATATTTGTGTTCATAAACAAATATTGCTAATCAAGTTTGTTCATAAACATTGCTGAAGAATCACAAAAATATTTAGTGCAGTTTTAATCAGCTGTTTTTGCAGTTTTTTCAAGAATTCGTCTGTTAATTGTTTTACTTAAAAATAACAAGATTTCTTTTTGTTTCCGGTTACTCTTTTTGTTTTTCTTAATTTTCATTTTTCCTGAATTTTTTTTTTGTTAACGACATTTTTTGTTTGTGAACACAATACTGCAAATGCAAAATTGCAAAAGTTTTTATACAACTGTTAAAAATATAATGCGTATGTATCACATTATTGTTTTGCAGTATTGCGTTTATGAAAATGCCTTATACTTAATGCTTAATGTTTTATTTTTGTTTTGTTTGCTATTCATTTTCATGCTAAAAATGATTTTGTTTTAAAATGATTTTGTGTAAAATTTTAATTTTATTTTTTTTTAGAGTTACGAAATGGCATCAAAAGAAGATTATAAAAAAGCAAAATCAATATATGATTTCACAGTTAAAGACACATATGGCAATGATGTATCATTAGAAAAATATAAAGGACATGTTGTTCTTATCGTTAATATTGCATCACAATGTGGACTAACAAAAACAAATTATAAACAACTTACTGAAATAAAAGAAAAATATTATGATCAAGGATTGAGAGTTCTTTCATTTCCATGTAATCAATTTAATTCACAAATGCCAGAAGATGATGGTGAAGCAATGGTTTGTCATTTAAGAGATGCTAAAGCTGATGTTGGTGATGTTTTTGCTAAGGTAAAATTAAATTGTATTCTAAAATGAGATTACTGTATTCTTAATTTATTTGAAAATATTGTATACATTTATTTAAACCTTTATTTTTTTTTTGATTTAAGATTGATGTTAATGGTCCAAATGCTGATCCACTATATCAATATTTGCAACACAAGAAATCTGGTACATTTTTTGATGCTATCAAATGGAATTTTACCAAATTTTTAGTTAACAAGGAAGGTATACCAGTTAAACGTTATGCACCATATACTGAACCAAAGGATATTGCAAAGGATATTGAAAAATTATTAGAATAAACATTATTTCTAAGAAATTTTTTTTTTTTTAAATATTTAAGAAATTTGTATCCTTTGGAAACTCAAACGTATTATGCATTTATTTCTCTCTTTTTTTACTATTCTTTGTTGTATATTCTTTTGTATTCAAATAAAATCTCGATAAATTTAATAACAAAATTTGAGTTTTTTATTTAAGTACGTATACATATATTAATTTAAGTACATAAGTATGTATGTATGTATTCCGCCAATTATCTTGCAAAACGTAAAGTATCTTGTAAAAAGTAAATTGTTTATAAGAAAGCTAATTAGATTTTGTGCTCAGATTTTAAATTTTACATTTTTGAGGTGAATTGAGTTAAAAATGTTAGTTAGGTAGAATATTTTAGCGTTCTTAAAAAATAAGTCTTAAAAAACTCACTTTGTGTCAAATTCTATGATTTCTATAATTTTATATCGAATTTAATTAATAATTAAATTGTGGCTGAGTAAGCGAAAAGGAAAAATCTAGATGATATGGAGTTGAAATCTTATTATTCACACATAAGATAAATTCATACGGGTATCACAGAGTTGACACGGTCAACTTTTTTCTCGTATTTTACATTGGTTTACAAGATAGTTATACTATGAAACTATTGTACGGCAGTTACTGTAAAAACTTATGCAACAGATATAGCTATATAAATTCGAATCGGCTAAAAATCATAATTTTATCCAATAGTCGGGTATAATAACACAAATGTTCTATAAATAGCTTAATCTAAACAAAAACTAAATATTGATGTAAAGTAAAAAACACAAAAGAAGATTCAACAATAAATTATAATTATGTACCTTTTAACATTCCGCACGAGTACCAATATACGGAATTTTATATTTGAAAATAAAATCTATCCTTCCCGAAAATAAAATTTCAAATAACATTCACGAAATTATTTATATATCATTCATGTAGTTACTTAGACAAATCTGATATAATTGTACGCTGAATGATGGCCTGATGGTCACAAAATGCCACATTTTTGCTAATTCGAGTTCGGTAGATCTGCTTAGTAGAACCGATAGATCACCGGTCTTGTTAATCAACATCCACGTAAGCAAAAATATAAGAACTTCTATTTAACAGATTGATAAGGAATTTTATTGTACCTTAAATTTCATGGTCAATTTCGTAATGATCTTTACCAAAATTCGTGACAATATTTTAAAATTTTATTTAATTTCATTATAAATAGTACTGTTATATTTGTTTATAAGTAATAAATTTTTAAAAAATTCTCTTTTAATTTTTCATTGTAATTATTATAAATACAATATTTAATCAATTCATCTAATGATGAAATTTTCTATGTTCTGAATAATTCAATTTAAGGTATGACTTGCAAATATTTTTCTAAATCTCTTAATAGTAAAACTTTCTGTTTTATTTGTAGTAAATTTTGTACTTTGTTTTTTTTTTTTATATTCCAATTTATGAGTCACATAAAAGCGTTTTTTAATGATTTTCATAAATTATTTGTTTGGGTGTGTACACCATGTATATATATGTGCACAATATTTACAAGAGTTTTCCTATTTATATAAAAGCATATTGTAGAAAATTTTTATATTTAGTATGTAATTGCTATTGTTCTAGTCAATATCGCAGCATATTTTTTTTATACTTAAAACATTGAAAGTGATAACGATTAAAGAAAAATAATAAAAAATTCGGAATTTGAACTTTTATTTATCGTGTACCTATACAAGTAATTGAAATTTATATAATTCGTTTATATACCCGGAATAAATTTTACATTTATTTGGTAAATAATATTTTTTTAAATTGAAAATTAAATTAATTATATAAAAAAAATAACGTGTAGGTTCATTACGTTGTATAAGAAAAAAAATTTATTTATGTAAATTTTAAATTATTGAATTGTGTAATTTCAAATGTGTAATTTTGTTTCTAATATTTGATTAATTAATTTTACAAAGTTTAATGTGTAATTATTGTGTAAAAATGAACGATTTAGCTTAAATGTATTTAAGTAACAGCCTTAAAAACTGGATCTATTACATGAACGAGTAAAAGTTCAATTGCATATATTTACATACATTATATTATTATTTGTACATATACAAAATATTTTTGCATTGTAATGTTTAACTTTACTTATTAAAAGTAAACTTTGCCGCACACAATGTTCAATGAAAATTGGAAAAACCAACAAAATATTTGTTATTAAATTTAAATTGTTTAAAAAAGGAAAATATTTGTCTTTTGATTAAGTAATTTTTTTTACGTACATCTTTATTTATTTTCTGGATTGCGAGAATTTGTACATATTTTGTATAACCACAAAAATGTGGTTATGCCGTATATAAAAATTTTGATTTGAAAAATTAGATTTGAGTTTTTTGAAAAAAAAATTATGGTGTACAATGCACATACAGTGGCGTACTTTAATATTTCTTAAAATAATTTAAATACTAATCTGGGGAACTAAAATTTTATGTTATTGACTATGATGTTATTCAATAAAATAAAAATTTTTATTGGGTTTGCTTTATCTATCCAAGATTTTTTAAATTTGAAAAGTGTTCAATTATTTTATTGTTATACTTGTAAACAATATTTATCACAAAATTTTAATTTGATAAGAGATAAAAAATTAAATAATTTACTGATAAATTGATAAAATTAAATTATATGCATGTACGTGTTTGCTGAATTGATAAGTGAACTACAGTTTAGAAATTAGAAGATTTTTGATAATTCATATATATATGCGTTTAAAGTTCTAATTTTAATCTTGAATCATAGGCAGATTTAAGCATATACTATACGATTTTCGAACATGTTTCATTTGTAGTAAAGATTTATATAGCATGTTATATTTAAAAATTATATAGCTTTAATCTATTGAGGATGCTTTATATATTAAGATCTAAATTAGAACTGAATTTTCGACAGTTTTCTTAATTTGTTAAATGAAAATGTTAAAAAAAATTTCCTATATAATAAAGACTTAATCAAAAAATATTCGTATGTACGCATGCTATAAACAGATGTTTATCCAGTAAAGAATTTATGTCCTTGCAATAAAGAATATATCGAGTAACATTTCATTATAAATGACTATGGTCAATTAAGAACAAAATTAGTTTACGACACAATTTCAATTTTTAGTAATCTTTTTAAAAGCTATTAATTAAATCTTAATTATGTACAATTGCCATTAATAATTCAAAGTAATAAGAATTCTTAGTTGTATTTTACATAAAAATTTTTTTGTTTTCGACATAATTAATTACTTTGTATAAGTACTTTCAAATTCATATTGAAATTTCGAGATTGTGTTCGACATAAGTTTTCTGTTATTCGAATTTTTGGTTTAAAAAGTAAAATTTTCTATAAATACTCGTATATGGAAAATTTGTATTTTAAAGCTTTATAATTTGTATTGTAAAGTGTCTGAGAGTCTTAAAAGTTGTGTCTGTTGTAGAGCTTTACATATCAGGCTTGTGAAAAGTTGCAATTTTAAGCATTACGTGTATAAAAAAAATAACGATTTTATTTTTTACAACATTTATTTTAATTAACGTAATATGAAAAAAAAAACACCTTGCCATTTTCCCATGAATTGCGGTTATTTAAAATATATGAAAAAATTATAAATTTATTGTGAATAAAAAACAAAAAGATTGCGTTTCAATCGATTTCATTTACTTACGTGGCATTACATTTGATATACAATATCCAAGAAATGATTAATTGAACTGAAAGTCATGCAATAATAAAGCATAATTTGTTTTTAATATTTAATAAAGTCCTCATTTTTCATTCAATGCTTTCAATAATTTGCAAAACGATATATTTGAAGCCCGCACCTCAACTCATTTCCTTTAATTCATGTGTTGTTTGGAATATACCAATAAATTTCTGGAATTTAATAAAAGTACATAAATTTTTCAATATTTAAATTTACTAACAAGACTGTTTTGAATCGAATTTAATAACATAATATTTAAATATTTTATTATCGAAAAATCATTAATTAAAAATTTATACTTGAATAATTTATTTTTATAGATTAACAACATGTCTGGAAATAATGATTATAAAAGCGCCACATCAATTTATGATTTCACCGCTAAGGATACACATGGAAATGAAGTATCATTAGATAAATACAAAGGAAATGTTGTTCTTATAGTTAATACAGCTTCACAATGTGGTTTAACAAAAAATAACTACCAACAGTTAACTGAATTGAATGAAAAATATCGTGATCAAGGATTACGTGTTCTATCATTTCCATGTAATCAATTTAATTCTCAAATGCCAGAAGGTGATGGTGAAGCAATGGTTTGTCATTTAAGAGATGCTAAAGCTGATATTGGTGATGTCTTCGCCAAGGTATATCCCCTTTTACATTTCAATTAATTATATAATAATTTTTTTGATATTGTTAAAATTATATATTTTTCTTTAACCTATATTATACCTGAATTTCATTATTTTTAGATTGACGTCAACGGTGAAAATGCACATCCTTTATACAAATATTTAAAACATAAGCAAGGCGGAACTTTTGGAGATTCTATCAAATGGAATTTTACCAAATTTCTTGTTGATTGTAATGGTATTCCAGTGGATCGTTATGCACCAACAACTGAACCCAAATCTATTGTGAAAGACATTGAAAAACAATTACACAATTGTAAAAGTTCTTAATTAAATAAAAAAATATAAAATATTATTGTTTACCAGTAATGCATAGTGTCGAATTATATTCGATGATTTTCGATTAGCTTTGTAAGAAAATAAAAAAAAATTCATTATAAATTTATTATATGTATTTATATATGTATGTATTTTGTTAAATATTAATAAATATTTTGGTTGCGTTAAAAATATTTTATTGAAATATTTCCAATATATTGATACTGAAATCACTATATACATACAAACATATGTATGTACATTTTTTTAAAGTATGTGTGTACAAAACGTTCGTCAACGTCCGACAATCCGATTTCAAATATTTTTTGGGTGTACAATAATTTTCAATGAATTTTATAATTTGATTCACAAATTTTTCCTGAATGTGCTCTTAAACTTATGTATTTATTTTCAAAACAATTTTTTTCCCTATAATTCC